TGAGGCAGCAATAAGATCGTCTCATAGTGCCTTTTTCTGTTCTCTTTAGTTGTGCCCAAATGGCCCCATACTTGCAACTGATTTAGAAAACAAAAGCCATTTAAGAATTCTCAATCATCTTTTACTTTTATCACAATATAAATCAACAAAACTATATATATGCTGACCTTCCAGTTTTCAGGTAGAATTGACAATTGGGTTCACCCTATTAGAAGCAAAAGATACATGATCAACATAAATTTACAACATCAAAAAGCTGTTAAATCAAAAGAAGAAAGAGGTAACTAAAATTCTGGATGTAATGCAAATAGAATAATAAAAAGCTCATGTGTTGCTTCATCCTTACCGGTATTACAGGAGGCTCCTTGGAGTTAAATGATAGTGCAGGAGGCTTCACAGCAAATCCAGTTCCCTCAGGCTGAATAGTTGTCCCAGTTTCTCCAATTTTATTCTCTTGCTCGGCTGATGGTATCTGGATTTCTTTCGGATGATGAACTTTGCAGGTTGCACCAAACTTACATTGCCCAGCTTTCAAGTAGAACTGTTTATAAATTATGAAATGGAATATAAGCAAATCTACATCACAGATAGATAGATAGATAATGCACGCCAAAAAAGATACGGAAATATATCTTACTGCACATGGGGGTTCAGCAGGCCTCTCAGGTAAGGCAAAAACATCAGCATTTTCTGAAGCAACCTGAAACCAGAGTAGAGCATCATATCATAATAAAATAGGGAAAAGGTCCAGATCCAGACGACAGTTAACTCTTCGAAAATCCACACATCATTTGCACTTACAGCAGCAGCTAGTTTGTCCTTCGGATGATTGAACTTGCACCTCATACCAAATTTGCATCTTTGAGTCTTTATAAAGTACTGCAAAATAAAAAAAGGGAAAAGAATCCATGTCCAGTTAAATTGTTTAAAAGTATCATTTCTGCAAAAAGAAAAAAAAAAATTGGATTACTACTTACTGGACAAATTTCTGCAAAAAGAAAAAAAAAATTTGAATTGCTACTTACTGGACAATCTGGCTCTCCAGGTCTCTCAGGAAGGGGTTCACTTGGAGCGACAAGTGGAACCTAATGAACCAATCATAAACTTCTGTTATGTTATAGCAATATAACTTTTGTCTCATTATCAATTAATAAGCAAATAGACAAAAGCAAAGAAACAGCTGCAATCTGTGATCAACAAATTCAATTTCTAAAATCAATAGATTCCTGATCTAAGGTGAAATCTGGGGTGAACTGACTTGATGAAAGTAATTCAAGCCAAAAAGCATATTCATACTTGCTGATAAGCAACACATATAGAATCAGAAATACAATTGCATACAAGATTAACTTAGAAATAAGCTTAAATTAGCAATGTATGCATGCATCAGAGCAGCAAGTGCATGCCCACTCTTTGATCTCTGTGAATTTACGATTACGAACTTCCAGTAAACGTCTGTGTTAAAGCAATGAACTTTAATCATAACCATATTCAAGATTCTCACTTTCTTATAAAATAAAAACAATAAAATTCGAGTTAAAATGTGAAAAATATTGCAGCCCAGAAATTTTCCCAGTAACCAAACGGAAAGCGAAAGTACAGTTACAGAGAGCGGAAAATGAAGAACCTTCAGAGGGGCGTTTGACGCCGGGAACGCCGGGCTCGACATCGGGAACGCTGGGACATCAAATGCGACGTCGCCAGATACATAGAGCTACTTCGGCTATGGTGGTCGGTGGCAGAGGCGGAAGGGTCCGACCCGGAAAGGTACCGTAGGGTGAGGTCGGATAGGTAGGAGTCGGTTAGAGGCCGGCAGTGGCGGCTGCGGCAGCCGCGGCAGCTGATTGAGGGGGTAGATGTAAATCCCAAATTTATATGCAGATGCAGCAGCTGCCCTAGAAACCGTATAATTCAGATTCCAGACACATGTCCGGAGGTCATCATTTGGGCCGTGGACTGTTTAACCGCAGACCGAAATAGGTAGCCCAAGTCCACCAAAAATGTATTTGAATCAAGATTAACTCAAGTAAATAATAATAATATGAAGCATCTAAAAGCTCTTAATATGATATAAAATAATTGTTAATAAGCTTTAAAACTAAAATAAACATAACTTCTCCAAAACAAAAATGTCCAAGACATTCAGAAGCCAGCATAAAAGAAAGCTTTTATTTTGTTGGTATCTCAAAGGCTCAAAAAAGGCTGATGGCTAAATAGCATTACTCTTAGTATAAATCCCAAATTCCCAGTGTAACAAATTAGTGAGCTTAAAATTGCATAATTCAAGACAAATGAAATAATGCATTATTTAAAATTTAATTGGTCATATAAAGTATAACCAAATCGCTGTAATTTTTCCCTTCAAATTTAAAACTTTAAAGCAAATATACGCATGTAAAACTCTTTAGAAAAAAAAAAATGCACAATATATAGTAGTTGTCAATCGGAATAAAGATAGTGAAAGCAATAAAATAACAGCGTTAACAACATGATTGAATGACAAATATGAATACAAATTGAAGATTAAATCATATCAAAGGAATTTAAATTAATCCGCAATTTTTTCAAAAATTAATAAAGCAAAACTAATGCAAAGCTCTTGACTTCAAAACTGCAGCAAGACTATATAATCAAATCATAACATTTCTTATTTGCAAGTTCGAAAAAAACTCCTGCCAAACTTAACAATATTAATACACACAAAAATGTAATTAAATTTTGATAGGACTTGCCCCGGACTCCCCTCTCGGATTTCGTGACGAACCCCCACTTTTCTAAAACGTTCTTTAGCCCTAATTTAAATTGATAAAGATTTTGACTTCTGCCGAAATTTTGGCAGAGTCTTCCCTATAACTAAAAGATTTCCCAATTTACAGTACTTGAAAACAAGCGACAGAACAAACCCAACTTCCAGCATGCACATCAGTTAAGATTATTCAAAAACCTCAAAGGTATTGATAATCAAATCCAATAACCACATGGACTAATACCCCCAAAACCAAAATCCATAATATATTCCAAAGTCACCTAATCCAAAATCACCATAGTTCAAAACCCAAATCTATATACTATAATAATAATAATAATAATAATAATAATAATAATAATAATAATAATAATAATAATAATAATAATAATAATAATAATAATAATAATAATAATAATAATAATAATAATAATAATAATAATAATAATAATAATAATAATAATAATAATAATAATAATAATAATAATAATAATAATAATAATAATAATAATAATAATAATAATAATAATAATAATAATAATAATAATAATAATAATAATAATAATAATAATAATAATAATAATAATAATAATAATAATAATAATAATAATAATAATAATAATAATAATAATAATAATAATAATAATAATAATAATAATAATAATAATAATAATAATAATAATAATAATAATAATAATAATAATAATAATAATAATAATAATAATAATAATAATAATAATAATAATAATAATAATAATAATAATAATAATAATAATAATAATAATAATAATAATTGTTTGTATCATATCTGACCCTCCACTCATTCAGTGACACGTGGATTAATGAAACTCCCAACTGCCCAAGGCTCCTAACGATCGGTATCGGCTACCGATGGTGTGGCTTCTAAGCAGCGAACAATCGATGCCACCTAAGCAGAGTCCACAATCAGTACCACCTACCGATTCTACAGAATCAACCTCGAAAGGCATGCCCGAAATATCTATAGACTCGTGTCAACCTCATAGGGCCCTTCCACGAGTCCCACATCGAAATTAAGTACTAAGAGCATACAAAATACCCCTTATGAAGAGGCCCCTTCACTACAATACAAAGGTAAGACTTTTCAGCTTGACTTTTATGCTAAATATATTGTCAATAGCAAAAGCTCTTAGAAACAAACTTACTTTGGCATCGGAGGGTCTCAGGCTGGTTCCACATCGGTTCTATAGACCTCACGAGTCTCGACTTCCTTCTATTCAAGATCAGCATCCAAGGACAAGAAGAATTTGCGTCTAAACACTCAATCGATCCCTAGATCGTCCACATCACTTGTAAGTTGCACTCATCTCTATCTGTTCAGTTTTAGTGCCAACAATAATAATAATAATAATAATCCTTGAAAATCCCATATCACATTTATGCATGAAATTTCATATTCGAAAAATGCTCATTTAAAACAATGTCCACTCACTACAAGTCCAGAACTGCTCAACCATGAGAAGGTCCCTCCTGTGGAGTACATGGAGCATGAGTACCTATTTGTAAGAACATGATGACTTAATCAATAAAAGTACCCAACCATGAACTTTAACTCAAAATCCTAATTCTCGGGACTCAAAGTATGTGCACAACCTTTAAGGAAATTCCTAAGGGTTCGACAAGGTCTGCTAAACATGTCCCGAGGATTTGGTCTCGATCGAGCTGTTGGATCTAAGCCAATCGCACGTTCAAACGGTGATTAGTTCGCCTAACCCTAGAGTCATTAATTCGAAGTATCTGGGATTCTGATTTTCGATCAACAAGTTCCTACACGATCCTAGAGGTATACGGAATAACATAATTGAAAATGGAACCGATCAAACAGTCTGAACTTATCGAACCCGAATATTGCATAATAGGCGCAATATCCGTTTGACTATCTGTTCTATAGTCAAACGGTAATCAAACGCTAACCCGAGCATACCATCGTGCTCGGGACGACATGTGGAGTATTTTAGAACTCATCAGGCTGCCACAAAGTGAGTATCTCGTAAGTTGTGAATTGATCACTATAGTCCATTACACATTCTGTTTCAACATTGTTGCTTTCAGTAGCGGCGTCACCTTGTTTTTGTTCCTTCAATAAGAGTAAGGTCTAAATAGCTTGCTTTAAATTTGTGGTCGACAACAAATTACTGAAAAAACAAATATATTTCTATTCGTCGCCACTGAATAATAGGTAAAATTCGGTCATACGACACCTGTTTCCATCTCTTTAAATATCGCTTGTATAAAAAATAAAAAAACAAAACAAAACATTGTACCTGAAGCCAGCAGGTTTAGTGGGGAAGTGGAACTCAGGATATACAAAAACCTTGAGAAAATCCCTCCAAAACAGCACCTTCTCCACCGAGGCATTGAAGCTGGTCCCACACCTGATTGGGTCCAGTACATGCTTCCCCTCAAACTCCTGCTTCTCCTCCTCCGTCAGATCAAAAAACCCTTGGCACCCATCCAAGATCGCCTTCATCAGACTCTCTGGCACACCATGATTGATCACCTATGTCATTGACACGTGGAAAAAAATTAAAATTTAATTAAACAATTTAATTCCCATCTGTAATTAAAATAGTACCAAGAAGAAGCCCCAGTCCTGGCAGGCTTTGCCAAGGTCATGGATGGCTTGGGAGCGCTGTTGGGGAGTGCCAGATGTGAGGAGAGAAAAGTCAACGGTGGGGATCTTTGACTCTGTATCTATCAAAGCTGCCAGGTCATCATGGGGATTGTTTGTGTAGGTATAAGTGGGAGGGATGAAGGTGATGCCTGGTGATTCTGCAAGCTTTTTTATGCTGGTCATCAGTTTGGGCGGCTGATCATGGGGAACTTGTGAAGAGTAGTGGATATTGACCGTTGGATCTGTTACAGCCATGGAGAGAGCTAGAGAGAGACAGAGACACAGAGAGAGAGAGGGAGAGAGAGGAAGAGAGAGCTAGAGAGAAGAGAGAGACAGAGAGAGAGCTAGAGAGAAGATAGAGAGAGCTAGAGAGAGACAGAGACACAGAGAGACAGAGCTAGAGAGAGACAGAGAGAGAGAGCTAGAAAGAAGAGAGAGAGAGATGATATCGGCAATTTGGGATGGAGGTGAGGTGAGAGTCCAATAATGTAGATAATAGATAATTGTTAATGCATATTTTTGGATCAACACTTGAGTGGTTCATTCACATAAAAGAAATAAAAAAATACAGAGTCTTCGAGTGATTTACTCAGTCTTTTAATATGTATTTTATTATGGATATTTTTTTTTTGTACATGCAGAGAAATTTTTTAGCCAAAGAAAAAGAGAGAAAGCGGGTCCCCCATTTTACAGACTCTATCGACCGATAGAATTCTATAGTGAGGGTATTATTTAAGGCCCTCATTATAGAATGACTCGTGTCGATCGACTATGTGCTCATGTCAATCAATTATGTCGTTGGGCTTGAGGCCCAAAATGCATTGTCAACAACTTGGAAATTCCATAAATTATTTCATATTCCTAACTTTGTAATAAAGAAATAATAAAGTTCTTATTTATCTTGAGGCATAGAAAAGAATGCATATTGAATAAATTTCCTATTCAATGCACAATTGTTTTGTTAGAAGTTAGGGCCCGTTTGGTAACGTTTTAAGGGGTTGTTTTCATTTTCAAAGAACAAAAATGAGGCAAAAACACGTTCGATGGCCCCAAAATAGAAAATACTAAGAATGTTTTCATAAAATGAAAACAAGTTCATTTGTACTTGTAGAAAACAGGGAAAAGTTGTTTTCATTCTCATGGGAAACGTTTTCATAAAAATAACTCACATATTATTATTTCAAATTGAACTACCATATACGTTTTCATTGTTTTTGTTTTCTGAAGATGTTTTCTAATTAATCTACCAAATGCATTTTCATTTCCTGAAAATGCAAATTCGATTTCTTATTTTCATTCTCTGAAAATATTCTAAGAAAACATTCTTCGAAAACATTACCGAACGAGCTTAGGTTTCTTAGCACATAAATTAATCAATTTCATTCAAGTCTATTAGGGTTTGCCCTGCCAATAGTGACACACTCTTAAAATAACACAATCTCTGACCTATTAATTTTTGAGGTAGGAGGTTTGGGGTAAACAAATACAAAACTAGTCTCACATTGATAGTTTTATAC